CATTTAGTGGCATTTGATGGCAGTTGTAGAGACGAATGCCCATATTCAAGGTGCAGGGCAATGCCAGCCAGGGGAAATCAGCCTTCCAACCACAGCCACGATATGCCTAGGCAGCCACAAAGAGTTCCCAAGTCATTTTCTGATCATTTACCTGGTCATGGTGCACTATCTGGACTTGCTCTCTCATGAGGAGGGTCTAAAATTTAACATTGTGATGTCCTTGATTCTGTTGCACCAACTTTCATCTAGTCTTTCTGTCAGCCACTCACAAGAGCACTCAAGTCAAATTCTCTGAAGATGTGACTGTCTTTTTCAAATTCTAGAGAAAAGGTTGATTTTAGATTTGCCTAGCAAATTAAATATTTTAATGCCATTAATATGGTCATTTAAATGGTATCCTTCTCTGAGTCTCTCTGCAAATGTTAACCTGGAGTAAATTTCATAACAGGTTTCTCTTTATTTTCGTTTTCCTCTACAATTTCTGAGTAAGATGACCTACTCTGAGAAAACCTATGAAGTAAGTTTTAACCCAAAACAAAATCATTATTTTGAAATTTAATACCATCACAAGCCAGAGACAAAAGATATTGCTCTTGCTTTATGGCTTACTTAGGATTATTATTGACTCGTAAGTATTTGCTTTAATCTTCCATAAAATCGAAAGGTTTATTCCTTTTATTTTGCCTTATATGAATAATTGTTGCAAAAACAGTTTTCCTTCGGTAACAGATTTGTATACCCTCTTATTTTCAGTTTTAATTTTCACCTAGGGCTGCTAAGATTCCAGAATACCAAAGAAACCATTTTCTAGGGGAGGATGTTTCTAATTTACTAGGGTAAGACTATTAAATATGAGTGAGATCCGGCTAAATCAGTGTTGAGCAAGAGATTATGCCTCTAGTCCTTTGTTAAACATGATAATTTTATTCCTGACGGCTCCTGGGAAGTCAGAATTTATTTCTTTTTATTACTGATCCTTCTTCTTTTTTTTTTTTTTTCTAGTAGATATTTTAGAAGAGTTATTATCTAGAAGTTTTCCAGCGTAAGGGCAATTGGCTCCTCATAGAGCATTTACACTTCAGTGATTCTTAGTTCCTGCCCAAGTATGACCAAATAATAATAAAGTTCACCACCGTGATGTGAGCTCCTCTGCTTCTACAAGGCAGAGAATCAGCATTTCCAGTTGTTGATGCAGATACTACATTATTGTTGTATTATCATTAAGACATGGAATGGCACTAAATTATTAATTCAGCTAGTGTTTCTTTCCTGTTCCGAACTCTTGATTTTTTAACAGGAGATGAAAGAAAGAGGTTAAACAAGAATTTCAGTTGATTTTAGAAATCAGTTTAAGTGGTTTACTTTGATCTCTGATTTTTCTTGAGTGTCTTAAATTTCTTTGTTAAAAATTCACATGAATATTTTATTGGTTCTTGAAACTAATATGAAATAAGAAGCTATGAATGTGAGAATTCTCAAATTATGTTCTCATTTTTTCCGCAGGTAAGCTATCTTACCTAAATTAAAATTTAAAATGTATTTTCCTTTTTCTTTTTGGTGTATTGATACAAATTCTCAGTGATGTATAAATGAGCCAAACATGGTCTGTGTGCCCTTGCCCTCATGCTGTTTATTTTTAAACTGCAGGCCTATTTCTCTGTGGCCTGTGCCAAATTCAAATTGTACAATCCAGTCATTTCAAAAACAGCCCAAACAATTAGCTTCTTAGCCATTCGGAAAACCTCATATACATATGAAAGTAATTGATACTCCCCGGTTGTGAAAACCCCCATCCACTTCTGCCCTGGGAGCTCTCTAACCCAGAGACTCCTCACTGTGCAGCTGTGTGACATCCCCTAGACACAAAAGCCCCTTCTCCAGTAAATCCCCATCTCCACCTTCTGAGAAGCAGCCCTGGCACTTTAGCCTGGCCAGACTCCTGCCATGAGGGACTTTTCCCTGTAAACCCATCAGAGCTTCACCTAATAAAAGTCATCTGTGCTACTGCCCCCCTGTGGACTTCTTCTTTTTCTTGACCAGAACCCAAACTAGCCAAACCCCACTCAAACAGGAAGACACTTTCCACCCTACAAACACTGACTCCAGCATAATGGACCCAATAATTCTACTTCCAACACTGTCTTGCCAAGTCTAAAAAATAATACTCTTGATTCCAATTTTATGGACCCCTAAATAATGGCATCAGGCAAATGAGATGCAACTACAATAAGCCCCACCCATATCAGCTGCCCCTCATTCAGGTGACCATGCTCCAGATCAGAGACAGAGGCCTGCTCTCCTGCTAGATCCGAATGGAGGCTGTTCTTACACCTTCTAATCTGTGTCCACTGTGGAACAACCAGCTTACTCTCTTATCGAATAAGCCTTGGGATAACATGTTAACATACAGAGAGAGAAATTTCTGTTCTGAATTAGGAATATTATTGTTCAAGTAATATAGGGTAATTTAAGAGCCTCTTTATACTAAAAAAGAATGTTTACAACATTTTACATTTTACAGATACGTAAGGCAATAGATTGTGTGAAAAAAATAACGAATCACAGTGATAGACTTTCTAGTGATATATCATTTTCATTGAAAATTGCAATACTGTCTTAAATTCAAGATTCTTAAGGAATGCTTTATAAAAATAGCATTTTAATGAACCAAGTTTGTGTAAAACAAAATATGACACATTTTTATTGGTATTCATTTTCCCATAAATTAAATGTTTATATTAAATAATAAATAGAACTAATTCTTCATTGAACACCTTTTTGGAGTAATCCTTCAAAACTAGCAATAAGATGGCTATGGTATTAGGGTCGTTATATTTTGTACGTTTTTTCCTTTCCATTTCTGCTACTTCTGACTCTTTTTATTGTTGTGATTAATTAGGAGTCTGATATTTGTAAAACCAGGAACCTGATTAGAATTGGTAAACATGAAAATAAGAAAAGTGAAATACACAAATTTATAAAATGTGAAAAAAGGATTAAAAAATTAAATAGTTCCATGTGAGACATTTATTCTAATTCTGCCTCTTAGCTACAGTTTGATATCATTGACCCAGATTATTATCATGGAGTTCACCAAGTAAACGTCAATACTATCTTTACTCAATTATCTTTTTCAACCCTGTACATAAATATTATTTGGAACATTTCTCAGAAGATATTCTGACCAAGATTTCCTTTGAAATCTTACCTAGAAAGGCATTTGTTTGTTCGTGTTTCTTGGCAACATGACTTTGTGTTAAATTACCAAAGACTACATAGTAATACAAAGCAATTTTTTAATTGTTTACCTGCCCACACTTTTTTTCTGAGCTATGTCTATCCTTGTGAAGGGATTTGATGTAGGTACCACTTTTCAGGAGCAGTTCAACAAAATGTTAGGCACATCTCTGAAAAACGAAAAAGAGTTCAGTTGTTTCCCTATCTAATGATCAGCCGTGTGGTAGACTGGCATTACTGAGTTGTGACCATTTTCACATGGAAGCCCAGGAAAATGGCAGTTATAGGTAAATTTTATGCTAAGACATAAAACTGTGGATCCAGTTCTTGTTCTTCTTACACAGAGTATCTCCATTTGAACTGCGGGTTCAGGGTTACAGCTGCACCACATCCAGGCTGGTGGAGACTCAGGATTCACCCAGAGTTGACAAGAACCTGGAAGTCCTGACAGGAGCCGATTCCTCATGACCAAGGAGACTGTGTGGGACGAGTTTCCCTGAACAGCACACAAAAAAACGTAATGCAAAGTTGTTTCTTGTTTGTTCTGTATCATTATCCTAGGAAATTCTTCTCTTAATAAATCCCTCTGGTTAATCTCACATATGTGAGATAATTATGATGAGACATATACCAGATTGCTATAATTGGTCACCATCAATTTTTTATTCACTGCCTGAGGCATAGAATTCTTTCCTCTTACTTAAGTTGCATTATGTGCTTTCTAAATGCAAGAGACACATATCATCCTCTAGGTAAAGGCCTTCAAGAGAGCACTCTTATGCAGATAAATCACCAGATACCAGGGGAAGGCAGATTCTAACATTTGCATTTAACGTTTTTAACAGTTATCCTGGTAACAGCAGATTCCAGATAACTCTTGAGCTGACGGAAGTCTTCCTTTTTATCTGCAAGCACACTGCCCTGCAGTGCTTGTGAGAAAGCAAGCTCTTTCCTTCTCTACATGAGCTGGGCGACAGCCAAGCAGGATGGCATTCACCTCCCAGAGATCCATCCTAAACACACATTTTTACTTTGTCATGATCTTGGTGCTCTCTCAGAGTGGCACACCTATGTGTCTTTGTTCATGATCCAAATTTCACAGTTAGATCTTCTTTCCACGACTATAAGCAAAATGGATTTTTAGCTCTATTTGTTTTTCTCCAAGGCACATTTTATGTCACATTGCTCACAAGAAAGACCTGCCCCAACCACTGGCTCTTTCCTCCTCACTATACCCACCAGGGCATTTGCATGTTGTTTCCTGGGGAGAACCTTCCCTTGCAGTCAGATAAGAGCTCAGCTCTAACTTCGCAGCTACAGATCAGAACTGCCCAGTTCACCTTCTCAAGATGAGGTTCCCTGCTCAGTTCTTGGGGCTGTTAATGCTCTGGGTACCTGGTAAGGACAGAAGGAGAGAAGGGAGGAGAATGGGGTGAGAGGGTGTGCTCTTGGAGGCTCCTCAGTCTCTCAGGTTTATTCAAACCGTATGTTAAGGAGTATGTTCTAATTTTCAGGGAAGGGAATTTATAATTTTTCCTATGAATAATTAGAAACCATCTCAAAAGAGCAATGACCAGTGCTTTAAGATCTTAGAAAATATAAAAGTTCCTTGTGCTTATTTTCATATATTTTAGAAAGTCTATTATTTATGATATGAATAAAATTTGAAAAAAGATTAATCATAAATTAATATCATAACAGAATTCATGAAAGTTGCTCATAATATTTGTAGCTTATCTTGTACTTCTTTCTCATTGTTTTAGGATCCAGTGGGGATATTGTGATGACCCAGACTCCATTCTCCCTGCCCGTCACCCCTGGAGAGCCGGCCTCCATCTCCTGCAGGTCTAGTCAGAGCCTCCTGCATAGTGATGGAAGAACCTATTTGTATTGGTACCTGCAGAAGCCAGGGCAGCCTCCACGGCTCCTAATTTATAGAGTTTCCAACCGGTTCTCCGGGGTGCCAGACAGGTTCAGTGGCAGTGGATCAGGCACAGATTTCACACTGAAAATCAGCCGGGTGGAGGCTGAGGATGTTGGGGTTTATTACTGCATGCAAGCTTTACAAAATCCTCCCACGTTGATACAGCCCTTAACAGAAACCTCCCTGTTTGCATGGCCCAGCTGCCCACATGTGCTGCTTGTCTGGGGAGCAGCTCAGCAGGGTCTCTGAGTCTGCAGAGAGGAGGCTGTTGGAGAACTCAGGGCAGAGCTTGCTGCTGAGGACTCTGGCCCATGAGAGCCTCAGCTGCGCCTCAGTGTCACATGGCAGCGCTCAATCAGCTGTTACAGCCTGGGGATGGCATCAACAGTAGAACTATTCAGATGTTTCAAGTGTCCTAGAAGCAAACAGTTCTGATGAAGGGAGAGTGAATGAAAGCTCATCCTCACCCTCCCTGTCTTGCCCACATGTGTCAAGTACATTTATTCGGCAGAACAACCAGACAATGGAAGCAAATTAGTGCCAACTCAAGTAGGATACATGTTGGAAATAAACAGTTCGAAGTTGAGTTATTCAAGTTAATACTTGGTAATATGGAAAAAGTATTACTTTCTCACTTTCCGAACATACTATCTCCTTTATCACTTAACTAAACTGCCCTTTTCATTAACATGTTCGAGAACGCATTCTACGCAAGCTGCCCTCAGGGGAGTATGGCTAAGAATAGTCAGTAAATATGTTTGATTGACTATTCATAGACTTTGTAGATCCATTGCATATATAAAATCCTCATGCCAACATCTTAAATTTGATTCAATTACCATTTGTTCAGTGAAAATGAAGTTCTTGTAATTAAAAAAGTGAACTCTGAAAATATAAAAGCATAAACTGGAAGATGGAGAACAGAAAGTTTACTTCATTTACTACAAGAGAAATGCAGAATGAATACAATATGCCAGTAATTAGGTTGCTGTTATATTTTCCTGATGTGAGTTGTAGGATCTCAGGCCTGTCGTCTTATTCAATTACGGAAAAGCCTTTCAAGCGTGGACACTCGTTACTTTCAGGAGTATCTGGAATGATCTACAGTAGAGAAGCTACTAAAAATTACATTAAAAAAGAAAAAGATGACTGTTTTTGATGATGGGTGACTAGAAGTAGCCAGGAAGAGCTGCTCCCACTGAGAGAAACCAGACCATCAAGTGGACCAGCGCACTCCAGACAGATCTTTGAAAGAAGACTTTTAAAGTGGAAACAGGGAGGATACATCCTGGCCTGGAAGGGGAGGAAGATGGGAACCCTGTGCGGGGTTTCTGAATACCAGGACTCCTCCTGACCCTTAGTGGCCCCTAGGGAAGGGGTAAGTAAAACAGGCATGGAGCATCCCACACTTGCCATAGAACTCCATAATCCTAGCTCTGGAAAAACCTATGACCCCCGCAGACACTTGAGTTGGCAGGTAGAACTGCCTGTAGACTGGGCAGAGAGAGAACTTCAGTCCTGCATAGAGCACAGAGGGTTTGGAGTGGGAGAGGCTGCAGTGGAGCACGGCCATGGGCACCAGCCCCCCAAGGCCTGGCTAATTTTTTGTATTTTTGGTAACAGGGTTTCACCATGTTAGCCAGGATGATCTCGATCTCTCGACTTCGTGATCTGTCCGCCATGCTCCCCAAAGTGCTGGGATTACAGGCATGAGTCACTGTGCCCAGCCCCAAAGAAGATTTTTAGCCGTTCAGAGAATGCTTGCTTTTCATATCACAGAAAACCCCACCCCCATCTGTTAGCAGTAGGTAAGATAAGCCCCAGGTTATGAAAATTGCAAACCACCCCTGCCCTCTGGATATCTCAGACCTAGATTAAGCTGTTCTCTGGCTACCCCTAGACACAGAAGCCCTTTCTCCAATGTTCCTTCACCTTAGGAGTTCCCTTGGTCTCCACCTTTTCTGAGAAGCAACCCCAACATCTTTGATTCTAGACAGTCTCCTGCTGTGAGGGACTCCTTTGGGCAAATCTCTCAAAGTTTCACCGAACAGTCATGTGTGCTACTGCCACCCTACGGACATCGCTTTCTCTTTTATCAGAACCCCAATTTCTCAAACTCTCTGTGAACAGATCCACACTGTCCACCCGACAAACACTGACTCCGGCGTAATGGACTCAGTTCCACTTCTGAGACTGACTTCCCAAGTCATACAAATAATACACTTGTCTTCAATTTTATGGACTCCAAACTAACAGCATCTGGCAAGTGACATGCAGTAAACTCCACTTGTATGAGTCCTTCCTCATTCAAGTGATCATGGTCCAGATGAGAGAAATACAGAGGCCCGCTCCACACCTGGATCAAATGGAGGCTGTTCATCTACCTTTTTATCTGTGTCCCCCGTGGAGCGACTAGCTTTGTCTGCTGTTGTGAAGCCTCTGCATATTCTACTAACATTCAGGAGAGAGATTCCTGTTTAGAATGAAGAATATTATTCTTTAAGTTTAACAGTATAGGGCAATTTCAAGGTCTTTAGTATAGGGTTACTTCAGAACCTTTTTATTACTGAAAAATTTTTTTTACAAGCTTTTACATTTTCAAATATGTAATGACAAGAGATTATGAGATAAAACAACCAATCCCAATGGTAACCTTTTTAAAGCTTTGTCATTAATTTTCAAAGGAAGCCACAGTACTCTCTGAAATTCAGCACCCTAAAGAATACTTTGTAAAACTAAGATTTGAAGAATTGGCTCATAGTAAAAGCAAGCCTGATAGATTTATTACTGTAATTCATTTTCCCACAGTGCAAGTTTCTATATTGGATAGTAGGTGGAACTGATTATTCATTTAACACCTTTTCAGACTAATCCATTTATACCACTGATAAGATGTACCTTAATGTTCTCTTTTAGATTGTGTGTTTCTTTTGTGTGTTTACTTTTATTTTTCTTTTCAGTATCTGATGTTTCTAACCCTTTTAACTATTATAATGAATTAGGAGTTTGACATTTTCAGGGCTAAGAACCATATTTGATCTGATCAGCATCACAAGGAAGAAGAAGTCAATGCCAGGCACAGTGGCTCACTCCTGTAATCCCAGAACTTTGGGAGGCCAAGGCAGGTGGATCGTTTGAGGCCAGGAGTTCGAGACCAGCCTGGCCAACATGTGGAAACCTCTTCTCTACTAATACTACAAAAATTAGTTGGGCATGGTGGAGAGTGCCTGTAGTTCCATACTCCAAAGGCATGAGAACTGCTTGAACCCGGGAGCCCGGGAGGCGGGGTTGCTGTGAGTGGAGATTGCACCACTACACTCCAGCCTGAGTAACAGAGCAAAATCGATCCCCCCTCCCAAAAAAAAAAACCACTCAAATATATAAGATTTACAAAAAGTAATCGAAGAAAAGAATAAATAAAAATTTAAATAGTGAAAAATGATACATTTATTCTGATCCTACTTTCACATTACAATTTGATATTCTCAATTTAGGTTACTGCCATGAAGTTCAACATTTTAAGCTCAATATCATTTTTACTCAATTTTTTTTTCACCAACTATGTTAAAACATCTTATGCCAGTGCATTTCCCAGAAGATAATCGGATAGGCTTTGTGTGGAATAATAATACCTAGAGCTCTGTTTGGTTTTTCTGGGTGTGTGTTCCTTACCAAGTAAATCAGACATTGTATTAAATCACTGAAGATTACATAGCACTAGAAACTACTCTTTTAATCGCTCCCAGGATTTTTGTTTTTTTCAGGACAGTGACAGTCCTTGTGACATGATTTGATGCATTCACCATTGTATAGGAGCTGCTAAATTCAATATTAAGCACATCACTGACAAATGAGGAATACTCAGGTTGTTTTCCTATTGTAACGATCCGCTGTGTGGTAGATTCATATCCCTGAGCTGTGATCATCTTTCAATAAAAACCTAGGAAAATGTCATCCATAGTACTGCCAACCCTGAGACTTAAAACTGTGGATCCAGTTCTTGCTTTTCCTACATAGAGAATCTCCTTTTGAACAGTGGTCTCATAGCTGTGGCTGTGCCACATACAGGTCCGGGGGAGGCACGGGTTCACACTCAGAGTTGGGAAGAATTTGGAAGCCCTGACATCCTATAAAATGTTACTTGCCCAGAATTGAAACTTTCAAATTCAGGTCCTTCTTCCTACTCTACTGATGAATTAGATTTTCTTAGTTTCCCACCAAGGGACACTTTCTATCACATTGCTCACAGACAAGACATATCTACCCTCCTTCACCCCGACCCAGTGGCTCTTTTCACACCACTGCACCCACCAGGGCATTTGCATATTGTCTTCTAGGGAGGACCTTCCCTTGTGAGTCTGAGATAAAAGCTCAGCTCTAACCTTCCCTGATCAGGACTCCTCAGTTCACCTTCTCACAATGAGGCTCCCTGCTCAGCTCCTGGGGCTGCTGATGCTCTGGGTCCCTGGTAAGGACGGAAGGAGATGAGGGAGGAGAAGGGGGTGGGAGGGTGAGCTCTGGTGGCCCCACTGATTCCCATGTTTATTCTAACCATGTGTTAAAGGAATGTGGCCTATGATCCAGGGAGAGGAATTTATATTTTGCCCTGACAATAGAAACCTCCTAAAATCAGTGCTCTGAATAATATCTTGAGAAATGAAAGAGCTCTTGTGCCTATTTAATAAAGGGGTCATTTAAAAAGTTTGTTTTTAGGATATGAATACAAGTTTGTAAAACTAAAAGATTAGCTATAAATCAATGTCATAAGTCAAATCTCAAAAGTTTCATATTATGCTTTCACATAACCTTGCACTTCTCTCTCATAATTTCAGGATCCAGTGGGGATATTGTGATGACCCAGACTCCACTCTCCCTGCCCGTCACCCCTGGAGAGCCAGCCTCCATCTCCTGCAGGTCTAGTCAGAGCCTCCTGCATAGTAATGGAAACACCTATTTGCACTGGTACCTGCAGAAGCCAGGCCAGTCTCCGCAGCTCCTGTTTTATGGGGGTTCCAACAGAGCCTCTGGAGTCCCAGACAGGTTCAGTGGCAGTGGATCAGGCACTGATTTCACACTGAAAATCAGCAAGGTGGAGGCTGAGGATGTTGGGGTTTATTACTGCGTGCAAGCTATAGCGTTTCCTCCCACAGTGCTACAGACCAATACAGAAACCTCCCTGCTGGGGTGTCCCAGCTGCTCACTTGTCTGGGGAGCAGCTCAGCAGGGTCTCTGAGTCTGCAGAAGAGGAG